CCCTCCCTCCCTCCCTCCCTTCCTCCCTCCCTCTCTCTCTCTCTCCCTCCCTCTCTCTCTCCCTCCCTTCCTCCCTCCCTCCCTCCCTCTCTCTCCCTCTCCCTTTCCCTCTCCCTCTCCCTCTTCCTCTCTCTCTCTCTCTCTCTCTCTCTCTCTCTCTCTCTCTCTCTCTTTCTCTAAATACAATTCTTTAAAATTCGATTAATTATTTCCCGAAAAATTCGTCAAATTTCTGATACCGCTTTCCAAAAAGATCGGTAACAAAAAATTATATACTTGATAGCACTCCCCGGGAAATTCAACCCCTACTTTATGTACAATTCTTTGAGATTCGGTCATTCGGAACCGGTTTCCAAAAAGATCGGTAATAAAAAATAGTACACTTTATAGCACTCCCCGGAAAATTCTACCCCTACTTCATGTATAATTCTTTGACATTTAATCAATTATTTCCCGAAAAATTAGAAGAATTAAAAAAACCGGTTTCCAAAAAGATCGGTAACAAAAACTGTACACATTATGGTGCTCGCCGTAAAATTCTACCCCTACTTCATATATAATTCTTTCAGATTCGGTCAATTAATTCCCGAAAGATTAAAAAAATTTCGATACCGGCTTCCAAAAGATCGGTAACGAAAAATTATACACTTCATAGTACTCCTCGGGAAATTCTACCCCTGTTTGATCTATAATTTTTTGAGATTCGGTGAATTATTTCCCGAAAAATTAAAGGAATTAGAAAAACTGGTTTCCAGAAAATCGGTAACAAAAAACTATACACATAGTGGCACTCCCCGGAAAATTCTACCCCTATTTCATATACTTTTGGTAAAAATTCGGTTCAGGGGTTTGGGCTGGGCGTTGATGAGTCAGTCAGTCAGTCAGTCAGTCAGGACATCTTCCTTTATATATATAGATTATATTATTCTTTCAAGATCCTTTTTGTGATATAATGAAGTAAAGGTATTCATGAACAAAAACACAGCTATTATTTTGTAACGTTTTATTATTACGTTTTTATACAAAACGTATAATTTTCGATTGTTTGTATAATTTTACATTTATGATCATACAAAACGTATTTGATAGAAAGCCGTTTTATTCTCCATTGATTTCTCTATGAAAGATAAATCAATGGAGAATAAAACGGAATGAAACCAATCGTTGACCATTAGCAGTAATTCTAATGTTGGTTGCTGTATGGATAGCCAAATCTTGAAATTTTAAGTAATGCCATTGATCAGTGAAATCAATTTCATAAGCATGGAAATGAGTATTAAAATTTACTGTGGTAAGTTTCTTAAGTAAAAAATATACAATATTATCTCTGGATACAGATATTGTATGAATATAACCAAATTGAGGATTTTTACTTCTTTCCCAATCTACAACAACCAACATGCCGTTCTCATAATGAGAGTCATTAATTTTAATCTATTTAACAATATTCCATTTTTCGAAACATATATCTTCAGGTAATATATAACGAAAACTAGAAAATTCTTTTACCTTAGATATATGGACAGTCTGAACGGATGAAAATGATATTTTCAAGGATAAACCTCTCCCAGCCAGTAACCGACAGCAAAATTTAAGTTGGTGCCTTTTAGCTATAGAATAAGGTAAATTGATTCTGTTGGCAGACGAATGGGCTATTTGTTTTCCTTCTCTATGTTTAGCTTCCATTCTAATACATGATAATGGCTCAAGAGGACCTATTTCAGGAATGATATCTGGATAATGGATATTTAGATGCATCTTAGGCGTTAGATTTTTATCAAACAAATCCAAATAGAGTGAGTGATGTTGTTTTACAAGATCTTTTAATAATGGAAGTACTGTAAGCGATATAAAAGGTGCAGTCAAGATATCAATAATATGACGAGCAGTTTGATATAACTTCCAAATATCAGCGTCGTTGTCAGAAATTAAATGACCAATCATTATGCCAAAATAACGAATAAAACAACGCATTTCACTGGCTGAGAAGGCTAATCTAATTCGATTAGAATCTTTAGTTATAAGAGGGGGTTTATTATTCTGTTCAGAAGGACCATAATAAAAGCCTTGAATTAAATTATTTAAAGTATCTAAGTCAAACCTTTTTCTTTGTATCAAAGTATTAATTATACCAATCATTGTTTGTTTCCACACTCCTTCATCCAAGTCGTGCATAATGTCTAAGTGAACATTTTCAACAACATGGAAGCTTTTTAATTCATTAAAAATACATTCAGATTTAATACCAGTATCAGTACTATTATCAATTATTAGATCAGCATTATAATTTGTAATATTTCGACGCATTGATGGATTTGAAATAGTTTGCTTTTGCATAACTGTCTTATGCTCTTTGCATATGCGACAATAATAATTCGCTGCGAAACATTCTACATAGCCCAAAATACTGTTAGCACCTAAATTATCTCCTGTAAAAAGACACATAGCAAAATAAACCTGAACACTTTCATTTTCTGTTACTACAGTTATGCCAGTATCTTCTAAATATTTCAGTTCATTTAAAATTTTACGAAAAATATTTGCATTCCCAAAGACTTTATCAGATGAATGAAAAAGATTTACAAGGAATATATTTTCAAAAGCGATGACTGGAATTCTGGTGGAAGACAGGCAATTTTGCAATAAGTAGCTCCCAGTTTATGCACACCAGTGTGACTCCCTAATTCTTTATTCGTTTCATAATCGTCAAAATACAAAATTAAGGGTAACACTAATTTGTCAAGAAATTTTGGAACAATATTTTCTTTCCAAAGCTTGCCTTGAATAATGTTGCAAAGTAAATCTGAACTATTTTCAAGTATTTTCATATAATCCAAAATTATTTTCAAGACATTTGGTAATTCGAGAAACCCTTTTAATACTAAACGGAGAGGAATAAACTGTCCATGAACGAGACTAGGCACTATTGTAATTTCACCACCAGAATTTTTTTCATCTAGAGTGGTTCCTATTACATATGTTTCAGGCTTAATAAAAGATCCACAAGATTCGAACTGTTTCGTACGTAAATGGTGACTTTCAAATCCATCAAACATATTTTGACATGAATCAAACATCCTTGTTATTTCATTCATCTCATAAAGAGAAATTTCTGTTTGCATTCTGGCTTTGTTTAATAATTCAAAAACATATTTTTTTAAAATCATTAAAAATCCTGCTCCTAAAAGACTTTTATGACAATCAATAATTTTTTGAACATTGTCTTCAGACAATGAAAAAGTGTCATACAATGAGGCAACATAGGTGATAACAGCATTTGTTAAAGCCTGATGAAAATCGTTACTATTGTTGATTTCACGAAGTTCAATATTAGAATCAGAAATATTCTTATTTTTTTCATAGTTGAACGCATCTACTGGACTTTTATTATCATTTGAATCTTTATCATCACTTGAAAATAAAATGTGAGAGGAAGTACACTCAAGTTGTGTATTGGAATTTTTTAATTCATGGCTTTTAACATGCTTCCTATAAGCTGATAGATTATTAAAAACTCTTATACAATCACACCAACAACATACTAATCTTTTCTGAGCAATTTCATTTGAATGAAAGAAACGTATATGACCAAGAACAGCATCTGCTGTATTGTACTTTTTGTCGCAAACAAAGCACTTAAACATATTTATTTTAATAAGTATATAAGTATAATTTGAAAATAACGTTTAACGTAGACGAATTTTATAATATGATTAAATTAAAAAATAAAAATATCAATATAAAACTTATTCATTGATATTTTGATATCAAAATAAGATACTTTAATATATTAATAACTTATACTTATATACTAATAACTTATACTAAACACTTATACTTAATAAAATACAAAAAGATGACATTGAATATTTTTCATACAGAAAAGTAATTATATCAAAATGTAATATAGTAAAGAAGAAATCGCAAATAAACAGCAAATAAGAAATCAGCATCTATGAATAATTCTATCTTACAGAAATTCGATCTTCTGTACGAATTCTATCTTATAGGAATATAATTTATAGTATTATTTGATTTAAATGGCTAATGAGTGTAGTTACACTGGTAACTGAGCGTTCATCTAATAAGTAAATATCATACAAAGCTCTCTGAACAAATAACCATAAGTGATATGCTTGAACTTGATATTCAGCGTCAAGGACAAAAAACGTTTTGAAACATACGTCAACCGCTTGTAAAACGCTTCCTACTTTCCACAGAATGTTGTTGACACAGACATACGCAGCAGTGATCGAGTCTTCTATATTTCCGACAATAATTATATAAGGCTGGACAGTAGCATTGATAGAGGCATAATATTCCTTTCGTCTTTTTATAGCATTTAACACATCACCACCAATCTAATAATAACAAAAAATTATCAATTTGCACTAAGAGTAACAAATAATACAATAATTTAAAAAAAATGTTATTTATACTTACAGCTATTTTCTGAATAAATGCTTCTCTAGCCTCTTCTATTGATGGCTTAAATATTTTTTTTCCAACTTTTACTCTACCTGTTGGCTTACATATAACAGATAAGATGTATAATAAAATGTAATCTCTAACATCTGTAAAAAAAAAAAAAACAAGATAAACCAAATTTTATTTTTCAAAAGTTACTATATATGTAATTTCTGTGCTATCAATTTACTATATACCTAAAAAAATGTATTCGTTACACCATATTGAATTATTCTTCAAAAAATGAGTATTTAAATTTTCTATAATTCCACTCACCATTCGATAGATCTTTATTTTCTAAATAAGATACCAAATCCTTTGTATCATAATGTACAATATAATCCTGTGATCTTGCAAGTTGTTCCAATTTTTTGCTGATTGAGGGCCATTTTAGCAAAATATTGTTCTGCTTGCCTTCCAAACAAGCATACTTGGCAGTGACGAAATGTAAAAAATTAAAATTTTCCAAAATCTGATGAAAAAAAAATTAATTAGACTAATGCATATATATATTTTTTAAACATGGATAGTTGTCATATATAAGATTCACAAAAACATACCAGTTTATAAGCTTGTGGTTGTTGTAATATGTTATTCCATTGATCAATGTACTCTTGAGTTAAAATTTTTTTATTACTTATAAGATTTTGTAGACGAGCTTTTTGGCATATTTTCCAATTTACTACAACATCTTCAAATGGCTCTCTGTTTCGTTTAAGCCATTCTTGCGCGGCTATTGTTTCATCCAATAAAATATCTGAAAATTATTGCATAAAAAACATAAAATTTAAAAAATCTTAATAACAAATAAAAATGTAAAATAAAATTTACCATCAATAGGAACCAAATCATCTGTATTTTGTATGTTTCTTTTTTCTTTCGAGGATAAAATTGCTCCCTTCTTACGCAGCCAGGATTTAGCATTCTTTACTTTTATAGGCAATTTACCTTTAGCTAACAATTGACTTTCTCCTTCTGTTTTTGGAGGTATATAGTAAATTGATATCTAGAAAATAATAGAAGCATGTATGATCTAGAAGAATGTAGCAAATTGACTTTGGAAGTTTTAGAAAAATAACTATACCACAGAATGTCAAATAAAATTTAGCAGTATTCGTTATGCAGAAAGAACACATTAATTTTTTAAATTATTACCTCTTCTGTGGGAAATTGTTCACAAATCTTATTGGCAATTATTTCGTAATGCTGATGCTGTGGACTAAAATAAATAAAATTTAAAAGTAATAAAATAATTATATTAAATTATATTAATTTATAAATAAGTGAACAAACATACAACTCAGTTATTTGAAGCAGCCACTTGATAACAGTTTCTACTATAATTTTACGATCATTTTCATTCAGTGTGCCTGATTTTGAGTATCCAATAAGTACACCATTAGCCTTGGTATCTGATTTCAATAACTTATCCAGATCCTAAATTTAAAAAACAAAATAAACAAGGTTATTATACCACAACTATTTAAAAAATTAAAAGAACAGTATAATGATCAAATATGACATTATGCAGAATAAGAATTCCTAATTAAAAACAAAAATTAATTCTCTAATTCACTGTCCATAAAAGATTTACTATTTATAAATGTTTGGATACATGCAACAATAAATTTTTATTTAATTACTTACTATTTCTTCTACTTCAACTAAAGCCCTTATATTATTTCGCCGTTTACTTCCCAGTTGGGAATTATCAAGTAATGGTTTTACTAAATTTGATGATCGCAAAGGTTCTTGTAATTCTTTTCTATGTGCTGATGACTGAGATGTTGATGGTTCTGAAGGTTTTTGTGATTCTTCTAATATATATATCACTGACTGAGATGATGATGGTCGTGAAAGTTCTTGTGATTCTTTTAATATGTCTGCCGATAACAGAGATATATCCGATGTATCCAAATATTGATCTGATGTGTTAGTATCAAGTATCTTCAAAAGAAAAAAGTAAACGTATTTGTATTAGATATGTATAAAACTTTTTTGATGATTATATCTACTTAATAAATAAAATAAAATAAATTTTAGAAGCAAAACTTAGAAAAAATAAAAAAAAAAAAGAAAAGAGCAAAAACGAGGTAAAATTAAAAATATAAATATAAAAGAAAATTTAAAAAAGAAATCTAAAAATATAATTTTATGATTAATTTGTTAATTAACTGAATTGTTTTTAAATGGAAATAAATACCTCGTCAGTGATAGGAGATGAATTTAAAGGAATCCTGTTAACAGTTGGCAATGACGAGGATGAAGACGTTAATGATGGTGTGCAGGAAAACGATTCCAAAAATGCTGAGTTAATGTTCTATAAAAATAATGAATTAACATTAAATTATCACTTATATAATTTGCAATTAACAGATCTGTACAATAATGTGGTATATATTTTGGCAGGTTGACTGTAATATATTAAATAATATAAATAATGCCAAAAATTTCAGATTATACATTAAAAAGATTATATCATATACCTTTTACTTCAAAATATAAATGTATTAATGCATTCAATCATAACACGAGCACAAAATATAATCTTTTTCATGCACCAGTGATTTAAAAAGAGAAAATAATAAAATAATTATAGAATTATTGAATAATATTATACAACTTCTTATTAAAAATAAAAACATATTCAATAAAAAGTTGTAATGTTTAACTAAATCTAAAACAGAGAAATGTCCTTGAATACCAAAAAGGAAATAGAAAGATCATGCTTACAAGTTTATTTGAAACCATAAAAGAAGTGTACTTGTTCATAAACTTCAATTGATCTCCTATAGTAAAAGATGGAGTGGGAAATAGCACAGGAATTTGACTTGGAGTTAAGTTCAAAAATGTATTCAAGTCCACACCATTGTCTAAAGAAATCGAAAAAAATTAGAGTTAAAACAAGTAAAGCTTCTACAAATAAAGTTATAAAAGTTGATCATAATATTGATAAAATTAATAAGTATATAAATGAAAATAATAAGCATTTTAACTATAAGAAAATCTAAGCACTAATCATATAATCTTTTTCCTATTTCTTTATATATATGTATGTAATTGTGAGTCTAATTATTAATTGATATTAATCGAATCAGAATTAAGATGTTGTATAACTAGTTTTGTCGAATATATACTAATAAGCTGATATCTACCAAGTAACACTTTGACATAGAAAAATCGGATAAAAATATATTTCTTTTGATGGTTATGTTGTAGTCAATTAATATATGTTCAAGAAAGCTTATAATGTAACAAGTAAAATAGCATTATATAAGTATATATAAATCAAATATCAGATCATGTATATATATCTCAGCAACATATCCATATATATATTCGACAAAACTAGTCATACATCACCTTAATTCTTCGATTAATATCAATTAATAATTAAACACAATTACATATTATGTATAAATAAATATATGTATATATACTTACTTGAGAAATGAGATTCGAGATGCGACATCTCCATATTTTTTAATATGTCTTCTACAGTTAACATTTTTAGATCCATCATTACTTCAGATCCAGGATAACGTCACAGATTTAAAACAAAGCGTAAAAAAGTGCGCGATACCACCAGAACTTGGCACGGTTCTCCCCTCGTCGCCAGACTCAGATCTTCGGTGTATCGGGTTTTGGCGGATGTCGTCGTCGCTCGACGGGACAGCCCAACGAGTCCCCCCGATCTCTTCGATATTCCGGGATGGAAAGTCTCGGCGACGCTGACAGCTTTTTCGGCGTCGTCTCGCGTCGTACGCACGTACACACGCACTCGTGATGCCTGCGGACGCCTTTAGACGGCCTTGAATCACGTGAGGAAGAATTCGCAGGCCCGCCTGGCCGCGGATCTACCGGACGACGCTCCTTCCCTCGCAGACTCCCGATTCTCTCGCCTTCTTTTGGCCGGACGAGTCGAAACGTTTTCTTCTCACTCGCGCACGTTGTCACTTGACGTGTTTATTATTACTCCACGGCGAGAAGCGAGCAAAAGTTGCCGTTAAAGCAGCCGTTATGGCAATGAGTCGTCTCGCGGTGGGTGCGTGAACACGTATCACGTCGACAAAAGAGGGTAGCACACACATCGGTTTCGCGGCGCGCGGGGGGGCGGTCGCGCGGATCGCGCCTAATGTTATGGCGCTAACATGGCGCGTGCGTTAACGTCGTATGAAGATTAGTTTAAACGCAAGAATATATAAGCTTAAATTTATATTATTATTCTTGTCTCAAGATATTAAGTCAATCTTATTTTATTCGAGAGAAGAGAATAGGAATTATTGATTTAATCTCAATATTGTTTTATTTTTATACTACTTCAGGTTGTGATGAGATTAAACATGTCAAGAATACTTTTTGTCTCGTTATTAGAAATCTTTTCTGAGGGTGTGCTAATAGATCGCACTTTTCTCCCGCTCTCTGTCCCGCTCGTTTCT